GAAGATGTTAAAGCGGGCACTACCACTGTTAGATGGTTAGTTAGTTAACTTTATTTTACTAATATGTAAAGTCTTAAAAATGTTAAGATATTTAACATCAATTTTATACGTATGTAACACCACACATTATATACCAAAGTTAATAACTCATTAAATCTTAAAGTTAATTTATCGCGCTCTAAAAATTAACCCGACCTTATTAAAATATTTGAAAAGGTCACATAATTAAACGTAATTAAACTCTTTTGATACGACGAATTTTAATTATTAACCACCAAGCTCGTATTACGTTGTAATTAATGATAAATATTTATTTCATAAGACCGTCGGTGGCTCAGTGGTTTACACTTGACTTGTAATCTATAGGTCTTGAGTTCGAATCCCGCCGTACCAATGTGATTTTCGTTTTTTGGATTTTCATATGTACATAATTTACCCGGCGTTCTTACGGTGAAGGAAAACATAGTGATGCCTGCACATATCGGCGAAGAAATTCAAAGATATGAGTCAACCAACACAATGGGCCAGCGTGATAACTATGGCCTAGTCACCCTAACTTTAGGGTAGGCTCCGAGCCCCTCGGTAGGGACGTATAGTGAGCTGGTGATGATGATTTATTAACTAGTAAATCTTCCATGTGACCAAATATCCACGTAATACAGTTTACAAACATATTGACATCTCTATCTTACTTTATCAAAAATAAGAGACAACATTATATTTACTAATGCGACATGTACATGGACATGTTATGCGACGAGACGATGGGGACATAAACCAGAAAGTGTTAACGAAAGTGGATGGCTACAAAGGTAGAGGAAGACCGAAGAAAGTATAGATGGATTGTGTGAAAGAGGATATGCTTAAGAAAGGAGTGGATTCAGATATGACGGCTGATAGAGATGTATGGAAGAACACATACTGTGCCGACCCTCCGTACGGATAAGGGCAAGTTGAATATTACCATTATTTTTACTAATCTAATTTTGTAAGCGATTTAAGTAATAAATTCTTTGATTGTCCGACTCCCTAGCCACTTATATCGCATCTAATTTATAAGATTCTTTACTAACTGTATTCAGTTTTGTTTACTTTTTTTCTCTATGTTTTTTTTTATTCGTGTTCTCTTAATAAAAAATAAATACAATAAAAAAGCAATAATTATTTATATGATAAATCAATCTATCAACTTGATTGCAGGCCTTTAAGGAAATAACAAAGATCTTTTATTTCGGAAAACCAAATAAAATCCTTATAGCGTGACTAACAAAGGGCAAAAATAACCCTTGTTCGAAACCGGAAAATAAATGTTACACTTAACAAAATAATGTCTTATACAACAAAACATTACGTAAATAAAAATGCATTGCCTAAATGATTTAATCGCCATACTAGTTTTAGCCCGCGATTCCTTCCGCGTGGAATTATAAAAACAAAAGTAAGTAGCCTATCTATTCTTCCATACTATCCTCTATATCTATGCCAAATTACATCGAGATGCCATCAGCACTTTAGGCTACAAACTCTAACAAACATCCATCTAAAATTTCGCATTTATACTATTGAAGAATTATGATTAACTAGCTTTCTAGACTCCGTCTGCGTGGAATGAAAAAAGTGAGTAGTCTATGTGTTCTTCCAGACTATCATCTATGTA